CATTAAACTGATGGATGGTGTTTGGTGGGAATGGTACTTACAGCACTTTTCTGCTTTTGCTGAGCACTCAAAGTGCTTTCTTATTATAAGCCCCATTCACAAACCTATTTCTACACCTAAGAGCTGTTTTAAAACCTGTCTTTCACATTTCATTGAAAGCTTTGCAGGCAAATTAGGATTCAGTATCTTAACCACAGATACGTTGACATGCACCTTAGAGAAACTGAGGATTGAACCACTGACCTTCTGATTAGTAGACAACCTGCTCTGCCTCCTGTACCACAGCTGCCCTGAATACCATTTTTCAAACTCTCACCACCACAAAACCTGTAATGCCATTAGGGTGTTCTTTGTGCATAACTCTGTATCTGTATCCCTACAAAATGAAAAACGATCTGAAGCAAACAGTTATGAAGTACATACTGAAATGCATATTTTCGCATTTTTATAACAGAATATGAAAAATGAAGAAATGAGCACCACTGTTGTCATGAATCTGGTGAGTCTATTTGCATGCCTGCTCGTCATACTTGCAAATTGAAGTAAATCTTAAGCCGATAGAATGAATTATCCAACAGCTTTCTGAGTGTACTCTAACTGAAAAACTCTTTCACATCACACTGAGCAGCTCATCCGTGACTCCTACTCCAGTGGCAGTATGTTTATTAACACGGGGCCTCGTCTTTCGAGTACAGCTCAGTGCCATTGCACACTGTGCATATAATCAGTAGAACAGTTGGAGTAGTCATAATAGCAGGCAAAATGAAAAAATATGCAAATTGTGTTTTGTTATGCAAGGACAAATGCACAGGGAAGCCATCCCTGTGGAATCTAATTACAGAAGTGGAGAAATGAAAGATAAAGTGATACAATGACAAATTGGTTGCATTTGTTAAAGCAAAGTTTCTGCTTGCTGTCATTTTCTGCTTTAATCCCAACTCTTTTCATGGACTTGTGGATAATAACATCCCTACGTATTAAAAAAAAACAAGCTTTTATAAAAATGTTCAAACAGGAATGGACAGATTATCGGTTGTCATGGAAACCGAAGGAGCACAATGGGATTCAGGTGCTACGCATCCCCTCTGGGAAGGTTTGGCTTCCTGACATCGTCCTCATCAATAAGTAAGTATCAGCATTGCAACTTGCATTAGCATTAGCATTAGCATTAACGTTAACATTAACAAAGACTTGAAAGGAGAACGTTTTTGATCTCTTTGTTCCATTTTTGTATTTGTATGCAGTGTTTGCAACCTTTTGTACTTACTAATTTACCCCTACCTGAGTGAAATAAACAAGTATTGCCATATAGTAAATATTTTCATATCAAATCCGTATCCATCGTACTATATTGTTTTGAAATTGGACACATTGCATACCCCTGTAGCTTGTAGCTGCAGGCCACTGGAGACTAGGTGATGGGCCAGGTAAATTATAGTAGTGCTCATGTGTATTGGAAAAACTATATAACACAGCATTAAATTAAAGATTTAGATACTCAGAACAGCAAGTTTAGTCTTTTCCCCATATTGGCTCACGCAGACACGCTCCCATTAACACCACTGTAAATATCCCCACTGCTCCATTCATCAACACTTTATAGGCAATTAAGCAGCATGGCTCCCTAATAACTGAGCTGATAGCACCGCTCAGCTACTTCAGCTTGTGAGGCGTTCATTTGGAACCGCACGGATACACACAAATATGCACGTCCACACAAATGCAAATTTGCGCGTGCTTCTCTTGGGTTGTTCAATGCCGGCCATTTTAGCAGCAGCACTTTCACAGGGACAGATTTTTAGGAGGGCCCGGGGTAAAGACACAAGCTTCTCATTGTTCAATTATCAGAGACATAAAACTCAAACACTGTACACTGACAGAAGGCTAAATCTGTGTCTAATTGACTTGATGTCTTTGTTGTGCATTGTGTTATGAGCCTGACAGCTTAGTATAGGAACAACATTAGCGCTGCACTTACAGTCAAAGTGCCCCATAAAAAGTGTGCAAAGAATCTCCATTTAATGCCAGTTACAATGTTTAGATGTGGGAGTGGAGCTAAATGTTCATATTCTACACAGCCGTGGCTTTGCCTTGTCTGTCTCTTTCTAAGCTTTGTCAGAGGAACTGAGATGATAACAAAACAAAGACTACAACTGAGATGCAAACTTTGATTGCTGCTATTTTGCAACTTTATAACTTAAGTCAGCAGCATAGAGAGTTGTTATTGCTTCAGTACTCTAATAATGCCTTGGTGGTGCAGCTGCAGAACAGAGACACCTCACTGTTTGTCACATTTTAGTTTATGCTGGCTGGATTTCCTCACCAAGCCCTCTCAGCTATCTTTGTAAAAGCAAAGTCACAATAAACCATCCATCTCCAGCACAAAATAGATTACTTCCCATAGTACGGAGGGGGGGGAGGGGGGGGGGGGAGGGCGTCTCTGACCTTTACAGAAAAGTGAAACCAAAAAGTCATTTCTTGTTACAGTTTTACTCAATTGCTCTGTCACATTTTTGAAGTTTCTTAAAAACACATTTTCCAAAGCAGACCTCTGATAAAGAAAAGAGAAAGTTTTCACAGAACTTTGTGGAGTATGTTCTTAGTGCATCTATAGAAATTAAGACAGTAAGTAGCAGCCAGATGTTACCAGCCTAATGCAATTGAGGAACTGATCATCAGCAAGTGTCACCGTGTCTCTAAAAAGTAGAAGTTTTGGCAGTTTGCAGGTCTGGAGCATTCAGCTGTGTGTTAACACAATGCCAAGGAGGTAAAACATCAGCAACGATCTTAGAGAAGCAATTGTTGCAACACATATAAGTGAAACTAATGACAAATGCAGGGACTTTTCGTCTAAGAAGAGTCTTATTTAACTGTTAGACAACAGAACAAATGCAATTCATTTGATACAATACAATTTGGGCTATGTTTCAAGATATGTTATGGAATTCTGTGATATGTCACCATCCATAACATACTACAGATTACCTCAACATATAACATGTGATATAGTTTGATTTATTAACCAAACTGGCTAATTTGTATTTCATGTTTTGTTTTCAGTAATGATGGACAGTTTGATGTGGCCCTACACGTCCATGTTCAGGTTTACAGTAATGGCAGGGTAACCTGGACTCCCCCTGCTCTGTACTGCAGTTCCTGTGGAGTCAAGGTAATTTTCCACAGATCTACTATGTATTTATCTTCCATCCAGTTTCGTCTAAGCTTGGACGTTGTTTCCGACTCGTTTAAATGCCAGTTTTTTGTGTCTAGGTAACATATTTCCCATTCGACTGGCAGAACTGCACCATGCAGTTTCGCTCTTACACATATGACTCAACAGAAATCGACCTGCAGTATGCCCTGAATTCAAAAGGCAAGGAGATTCGGGAGATCCAGCTGGACGAGTCTTTCAGTGGTGAGCACTCATGACGTGATACATATATTCTTAAGTAGAAGTACTTCAGATGTATTTTGATGTTACTGTATATTCAAAGCATCGCATTTTTGCATAATCCCTTCTTGTGGTTTGCAAATGTGTTGCTAGTGTAATACGATTACTAAATGCGCTAAAATTAATAGAAATCTAAGCTGTCGATGTTTCTCTAGAGAGTGGTGAGTGGTACGTAAGACACAAGCCAAGCAGGAAGAACACATTTGATGACGAATATGAGGAAATGACTTTTTACCTGATCATCGAGAGGAAGCCTCTGTACTACATCATCAACATCATCATCCCTTGCATCCTGATTACTATCATCGCCATCTTCAACTTCTATCTGCCTCCCGATGCAGGTAAACACTTTACAGAAATTGCTTTCAGATCACTTGATGACTATGAATTAAAGCTCTCTTTATGTGACCACCAGGATCGTAAACAAGCTCCACCTTGATGTAAAACTGCTAATACCATTTCCCAATTGAGTTTGTGTGGTCGGTTTAAAATGGGCAATCAGGCATTTAGCTAATTATAAAGGGATCCAATTTCAGATTAGATAGGTGCTTCCCGGAACACAGTTGAATTGATAACCTTTAAAATGAAGGAGGTAGAAAAACAGCTTAGAGCAATCGGCTTGACTCTGTCCTTTCCCTTATACGCTTACCTTTATGTTTGGACAAGCCTGCTCATTGGGTACATTGATTGATTGGGACACACATATGCAAAATATAACCTGAGATATTAAAGTTTGACTTAGCACAAAACCCACAGATGTGCAAATATGCATGAATCTCAATAAGGTACACAGATCGGAACATAACATAACATACTGCATTCCTGCATAGCTGTATTAATATTCATTGACATGATACTGTCATTATGCATTGATGTAGGCATGTATTTTAGTATATAAATATATTAAACATTGATAAAGTTATTATTTTCTTGAACAATGATGTAGGCCTATTTTTAGGAGTTTATAATAGCTATAAAAAGTCATTTTAACACTCTGTAATATTTTTATTTACATTTTTTGGAACGTGTGGGAGAAAAAGTATTGCAGAAAATGTCTGATTAGGATAACTGCTAAACGTATCATAGTTTACTGACCAGTGTGTGCCATCTGCTTTGTTCACTGAAAAAAGCAACCAGGCAAGTGACCTTTAAAAACAACCACTAAGAGTCTTATTGGGATGATCAAGCAAAAGCTTCTTTTTGCTGCTCCCGTATTCACAAGTGGTCGCCACCAGAGATGTATCTGCATATTTGATTGGCGGAACTTTCTGCTGAATCGCCTTCCTGACGCAACCCTCACAGGGATTTGTGTCTCCTACTAGTCTTGAACCAGGGTCATATGAAATGACTGATTTGAACACGCAGTAAAGGGACACATAAACAGCACAGGGAATCGTAGGGTTTGTTTTTTTAATCTCCTCCAGTTTTACATTAATTTTCCAGTGATGCAGAAAGAGATGCTTTGCTTCTCAGTGAGAGGCTTCAAACTGCTCTCTTAACCTACCAGCTCAACCCTTCTGGGCCCTGTACTATGAAGCAAGCTCAGCATACCCAGGATGCCTTTCTGTTATCTGGATTCATTTACCCCAACGCTGACAGTCAGGATAAGCCGTCACACGGAGTTGGTTAGAAACTTGCTAAATTAACCCTGGGTCTTGGTGTAAATCGTTTGCAGCCAACAGAAAGAAATCCATGCATCCATCCACTCGCTTCCACTTGTCCTTTTCAGGGTCGCGGGGGGCGCTGGAGCCTATCCCAGCTGTCATAGGGTGAGAGGCGGGGTACACCCTGGACAGATCGCCAGTCTGTCGCAGGGCCAACACACAGAAACGGAAATACATTAAATTTAAATAAAAAAGTTGTCTCTAAGAAACCAAGAGACATTAGATGCTACTGGAAAACCTTAAATCTTCCTATTGCATGTGCACAGAGGTCTGAGGGATCTACCAGGACTGGTAACGCAATTCTCTTGGAAAACTAAGTTGATCTCTAATTGGGAAGGAGATTAGGCTCGCAGTATAAATGATCATGTGATGCACCCAGGTAAGACGTGAACCACTTTTGCAGTAGATATAACTGCAGGTTAACCCTGAAGTTACCTTGGTGATGAAATCTGGCCTCGTAGTACAGGCCTGTGGTCATTTACAAACACAGTTCGTACACAGTTTGTACGTGACCACAGAATGAACTAAAGAGCCAATGCTGTGTCACCCAATCAGCCTCACTTAGAATGGGAGATGAATTTTTCATTAGCATCATTGCTAGTAAATTACATTCACCAGATGCTCCTCGAATCTCAGTGAGTTGAAAATGGAACAAACCTTGGCCCGGTAAAGCTTAATGAGTCGTAACACAGGAACAAGAAATGCGCTGTTTCTGACTTTCCTAAATAATTGTGTTTTTTTTTTCTTTGCAAGGTGAGAAGATGGGTTTGTCAATCAATGTGCTGCTCACCCTCACCGTGTTCCTGCTGCTGCTGGCTGATAAGATCCCCGAGACCTCGCTGGGTGTTCCCATCATCGTCAACTACATCATGTTTACCATGGTCCTGGTCACATTCTCTGTCATCCTCAGCGTGGTTGTCCTCAACCTCCACCATCGCTCTCCCAACACCCACATGATGCCAATGTGGGTCCGCAAGGTGAGCGTACATTTCAGGGTCACACAAGCTTAATTTTTGCCTGCTTGGCACATCATCATACAAGACTTCTGAAAGGAAATAATATCTGTGTCTCTTAAGAAATAGTTTTTGTCTTTCTAGCATGTGTTGTTACAGTGTCTTGCATATATACTGTAGGTTGTTCATTTGTGCCAGAACAGCCCAGAAGCACAAGCAATCTTTCTTTCTGTTGTCTGAGGTTTTGTCAGAATACCACCTTTCATTTGCATTGTGAAAATACGTTAAGGGAAGTCATTAAGTGGCCAGCATGTCTGTGAGGAGAGCTGGAAAGGACAGGGGGATATTGGGAGGCTATGTGATAAATGAAAAAAACTTCTAAACATTGAATTATCTGTCAGCAAGGAAGTAGAGCAAGAGGTAGGTTAGGACCATCAACTCTAATTAGTGTGACCCAAGAGACCATCTATCTATCTATGCAACTCCAAGGTGAGTTGCATTTCCAACTTCAACAAGACTTCAATATGTTATATGTTTTGTTTAAATTACAGTTAAAAAACACCAGATAATTGCAACAAGACATTGCACGAATGCTAAAGAGACTTTAATGTAATGTCCATATTTTTAGACACACATTTTTCCATATTAGAAATTGGTTGAATGTAGTGAATCATATATACAACCAAGCTACACCTACCAACTTCCTTCAAGCATGACTTGATCATCGCTTGGCCTGTGACTATCAGGAGTGATAGTCACAGGCCAAGCGATGATCTTTTTAGGACACTTTTATTACAAATTTTAGAAAGTAGATTCAGTCCATTTGCAGGTTGCGTCCAGATCAACAGAATTAACTTTCTGTGAATTAACTTTATTTTGTACTCAGTCAGATGGTCATGGAATATATGTCACGACTGGGGCAGCAGCCGTGTGATGTGTGGAAGGAGGACTCAAATGCAGCACTTATTCAGATGTGACGGTGATTTATTAAGAATACCGAACATAAAGTGGGGATGGCAAAACAGAACTAAGGATGACCTAAACTGGGAGAAACT